GGTCTAGGTAAATAGATTATTAAAAGTAAAATAGTTAATTCAATCTGCTTATTCCCTGGTTCCAAATAATTAAATATAAACTGGCAACTATGCAACGATTCCAACTGACACAAATAGCCGGAACAGCGTACTGGCATATTTCCAGACCCTTCAACTACAATATTACCCTAGATCACATACTTCCAGCGCTCTGTGGCCCAAGTCCCTCTGGCCCCTATGCTTAACACGGCCCTGCCTGTATTTATAATATTGGTTTTTGATTCTGCAGAATGCTTATTTCAGAATTTCGTTATAAAGCTTCCACAAACTTTGCTTTATCTAGCGTCCGCTAGATGGCTAATTGGCAGAACACCCGGCTGTATCCATGACAACGACAGCTTCCAACGGCAGCACACGTCGAACTTATAACTTGCCGGTTGGTGTTCCGCAGTCAAGCAAAAACTTCGATGAGTGGGAAAGAGGAACAGTTCGCGATTTAGTGACTCGTTTTCGGTTCTTAAAAATATTTGAATTTCAGAACTCCTGTGTTTTCAATGCAGGCATGATGTCAATAAAAGTAAGCTTGATGTTTGCTTAAATCATGTTGTTTCTGACAACAATTTGTAAAATTTTTAAAAGTGTATTTTTATCTTATGTGTAATTTTATTGTTTTTGATTATAAATATATGAAATTTTACAGTTTGAAAATTTATAACGATCGGAACAGCGCTATGTTTTTGCCAAAGTCATGAAATATCTAAACAGATGCGAAGGAATATTTTTAGGAAGTATACTATAAAACTAAAATTTGAAGTGCACTAGTTGAGCGATCAGCTGGTTATTTTATGATTTATCAGAACAAAATAATTTCAGGAAATATAGTTTTATAAAATAAATATTTATATATTTTTTATCTTCAGAAAATCTAATTTTGCGGCTTCCTATCCCAAATGCGCTTCTATAAAATTTTTATTTAAATCACGTACACAACGAAAAAGGAACATCATTTATTTTTAATTGTTTAAGCAACACATATACAATACAAATTTAATTCAAATAGTTATTGCATAATAAAAGAAAAATACAACCTGTTGTTATCGAATAATGATTAAGGGATGAGTGACCAGTTAAAGACACACCCCTTTAATATTGCAGCGAATTTTATAAGTCTATGTAATACATACATTTTAAAAAACTATATTTATTTTGTGAAACTTGATAACATGTGCTTGCTACCTAATTTTTTAATCATCTATGGCAAAATAATAATTAAAAACACTGCCTTTAACACCAAAATATAATTTAATTGTATGTATAAAGTATATTCCTATTCAATATGTAGATGGTGAATTATTTTGTATTAAACAACTCCCTCGATTCTAATTTTATATACTACACTAAAATTATGTTAAAAACAATAATATATGATTGATTCTAAAATTTCATCATAGAAATGATCCATTGTTTTGTGAATTGAATATTTTTTCTTAATTTGTAAAAATATTGATTTTAGGATAAATTATACCTTCAACTTTAAATATAATACACCGGGTGTCCCATTATATTTTCCAATACTTAGCAAGCTTATAACTTTTAAACGAAAGTACTTAAAAACATGCGGTTTTCACCGAAACGTATCAAATTATTCCAAGTTTTATTTCGGCCAATCCAAAATATTTAGCACTTCCGGTTAACTGAGAAACAAAATGGCGGTTTCTTAAAGACGTATTTGTTAATTTTTTTAATGGAACACCCCGTACATTTTTTAATGCTCTGAAAGCCAGTCCTTTTAGCTATCTGGCGATATAAAGTTTTTTGAAATCGATGAAGAAATGACTGGACAATTAAATTTTCAGAAAAAACCTGCAAAATCAATCATTAACAATAACTCTCATCAATAATTTTATAGTAGGCTTTGGTACGTTTGTAAGAAATGTCAAAATTGTTGTTTTAACTGTTCTTAAAACTTAGACCAGAGGTCCCAAACTCTTTTGTTTCATAGACGACTTTCAAAATTTTACTGGATCTCGGAAAAAAAAGTGAAGATTAGATCTATCTATGGAAACTTGCGTTGTGACTGAGTTTTATCGACGAATTAACAGTTTTCGAAAAAAAAAAAGGTTATAATTGATTGCTTGATAGGGTTAATTATTTGATAATAAAGTCGACTAAACAAATTTTCAATTAAATTTTAATTGATTGTGCTGTGAGTGGATGTCAAAAAGGCAAAGTTCAATTCTCACAAATTTTATTTAGAAAACGTCCCATTCGGAGTGGTAAAAAGAAATATAGTATATTTCCTTATGTTATATTTAAATTTAAATATATAAATTACACTATTAATTATTATTGTTATAACCGTCGTAATATAATTAAAATTAAACACTTATAACGTAATGTAATTTCTACAATGGTAATTACAAAAAAAATATAATTTTAATGAGAGGGCTGTACTTGATGGATTGACATCAAATTATCAATATTTGGCTTTAGTTTTGTAAGGAACAGTAAATCTCCCCTTTCTGTGATATTCAATCTGCTCTTTTTTTTTTGTTAATAAGTTTGTAACGGCACTAAAACTTTTTTCGACGAGATATGACGAGGAAAACGCTATCAGAAGCTTTTGCACAATTCCCTACAGTCCAGGATATTTTTCTGGTATTTCTGTCTGCAGCCAAAATGTTTGATACCCTCTTTTAAATGTCACTTTCAGCTCCTCATTAGTGCTAAGCTCGAGTAGCTCCTCTTGTAATATCACATTCTCCACTTCCGTTTCATCAAATGGATTTATGATCCATGGTGGTATTTCCATCGACAGAATATCTTCAAATCTGAATTTAAAATCATCATGCAGTTTTTTCCTATGCTTTGTTCGAGATGTTCCAAATTCTTCCTGTTATCGCTGCTTCGTATTTCAATTTGACTACAAAGGCATTTGATAATTCTAACGTTTAGATGAACTGTCAGTGTACAGTGAATAGTAACTGAACGTTTAATTTCGAATTTATGTGATTGTTAGTGTTGCAAAATGCCAGATACTTATTCAAATTTAGAGTATGCAAATATGGTGTTTGTTTATGGTTTCTGTAATGGAAATGCTACAGCTGCTCCTGAAGAATATCGTCAACGTTTTCCACACCGAAGACATCCTGATAAAAACGCATTTATTAGAGTTTTCAACAAATTGTACGAGACTGGTAAGCTTCCCAGTACTTTCATAACATCTGAACGCGCTACTCGACAAGGTTTTGTAAAAGTAGAAAATATTCTGCATCTAGTAGAAGAAGATGCAACTACTAGCTCACGGAGAATTGCCACTCAATTGATAATTCCACAAAACAGAGTGATAAACACACTCCACGAGCAAGGCTTATATCCTTATCAAGTACAGAGAGTACAGCACCTACAACCACAGGATTACGCTAACCGTATGGAGTTTTGTCGGTGGATAAATAATAATCATCGTGTTGTATCGAGTATACTCTTTACGGATGAAGCTACATTTATCCGTGATGGCATTAATAATACTCGTAACTATCATGTATGGTCAGACGAAAATCCCCACGCAACAGTCGAAAGCAATTTTCAACATCGGTTTTCTGTAAACGTGTGGTGTGGTATGGTTGACAGTTATTTAATTGGCCCTTTCATTTTGGAGAATCGACTCACAGGAGACAACTACCTCAATTTTTTATAAAATGAATTACAAGGCCTGCTAGAGGATGTTCCTGTAAATATTAGACTGCAGATGTACTATCAGCACGATGGAGCTCCTGCACATGTCGCTCGTCAGGTCAAGCAACATTTGAACGAACGTTTTTCAGGGCGTTGGATTGGTCGTTGAGGTCCTATTAATTGGCCTGCAAGATCTCCTGACCTCACACCATTAGATTTTTGTTTATGGGGCTGGATGAAAAATGAAGTCTACAAAATAAAAGTGGACACACGGGATGCACTAATTAGACGAATTGGGAATACTGCAGCCCATATTAAAGAAGAAAGAAATGAATCAATTAGGAGAGCAACAAACGCTCTTCGTAGACGAAGCAGAAAATGTTTAGAAGTCAATGGCGGTATTTTTGAACATTTATTGAAAGAACGCTATGATTAGAAGAATTTATATGTGTAAATTTGTTTATTTGTTAATATGCTATAACTTAAAAAAAAATGAAAATCGGATAAGAACATAAATATGAGTTTTTTTACATTATTTTCACGTGTATAATATACTCCTAGAGTTTGGTGCGCTCCTCCCGACTCACTGTGTATATGAGAATTAACAATATTATATTTGTGTTAATTCATTTTAAGAATCTTAATCTTAAAGTTAAAATTATTAAGAGGATATAAAAAAAATATGCAAATTATAATATATTTCAAAATTTTCAAAATAGTTCTTATAGAATTAAGTTTAATAGGAAACACTAAAATATATATAACGTTTGTATTCAAATAAATTTATATCTTAGAATTAACAATATATTGTTTTGTAAATAATTAAGTGAAATATATTATTTCTTAAACGTTCATATTAATAAATACGGATTCCTAATAAAAGCCCAAATATATTTTGTAGCAAAAACAAGCGCAAAATTATTAAGAGACTGTTAAAAAAAATTGTAAATTAAAATAAATTTAGAATTAACAATTGATTTCTTTTATTTTATGAGTAAGTAAATAAAAAAATAGAGTTTTGTAAACAAATTATGTTATTTCTAGTCTCATATTAATAAACACGGATTCCCGATGAAAGAAAAAATATATTTTTCTCTGTCATATATCTTTTAGCAAAAACAACACCCATAGAAAAATCATCCTTTCGTCGTACAAAATTTAAAAAACCGAACTTAAATTTCGGAACAATTTTTGTGGTAACAGAAACCGTGCTCATGCTTATTGGCGCCAAGATCCAAATTTTGGCGCTCAAAATGTAACACTTGACCAACCATGCGTAAAAAATTGTCATATAAAGCTTGGTACATTTTCGGGACTAACCAGTTTTTTCCTGTGCTTTGTTCGAGATGTTCCAAATTCTTCCTGTTATCGCTGCTTCGTATTTCAATTTGACTACACTTCCTGTAGAGATGTGGTCAACAATTTTAAAGTATCTAGACCCACTGTCTCTTCTTGACGTTGCTAGATCAACAACTTATTTATTTAACGTCTGTCAAGGAGACCCAATGTTAAGGAAACAATTACAACGAGGATTGAAAGAAGAGACAAATCTTGCTATAGATTTGATTGCCAATCCACGAAAGATTCTCATAGCTAAGAGAAGATTACTTGCGAAGAAGGCATTTCACAATGTTTTCGAGAGAAAGGAAAATTTTACAAATATTTTGAAAAGAAAAGCTTCAAGGGATTTGGAAGATAATCGTAGACCAACAAAGAAGGTCAAATTATGTAGAATTTGAACCATACAATATATTAATTAATTTTAGAATCTTCTGTTAAAGTTAAAATTAATAAGAGACTTTAAAAGAAATGAAAATTATGCAAATTAAAACAAATTTTATAAATTTTGATATGGTTTCGATAAACTTAAGATCAATATGTGACTGTAAAAGAAATAAAAACTTTGTAAATTCAAACCAATTTATAATTGAGAATTAACAATATATTTGCGTTAATTCATTTTAGAATCTTAATCTCAAAGTTAAAATTAATAAGAGGCTATAAAAAAAACTATGCAAGTTATATTATATTTTAAAATTTTCAAAATAGTTCATACAAAATCAAGGTTAATAGGAAACATTAAAATTAATAAAACCTTTCTATTCAAATAAATTTATATTTTAGAATTATCAATATATTTTTTTCTAAATAATTAAGTGAAATATATTATTTCTTAAACGTTTATGTTAATAAATACAGATTCTTAATAAAAGCCAAAATATATTTTGTAGCAAAAGCAGGCGCAAAATTATTAAAGACTGTTAAAAAAATTGTAAATTGAAATAAATTTAGAAATAACAATAGATTTTTTTTATTTAATCAGTAAATAAACAAAAAAATAAAGTTTTGTAAATAAATATATTATGTATACTATTTCCAGTTTCATATTAGTAAACACGGATTCCCAATGAAAGCTAAAATATATTTTTGTCTGTCATATATCTTTTAGCAAAAAGAACACCTCTGACGATCTATCATCGAAAAATTAACCTTTCGTCCCACGAAATTTAAAAAAAAAATGAACGCAAATTTCGGAACAATTTTTGTGGTAACAAAAACAGCGTTCACGCTCATTGGCGCCAAGATCCAAATTTTGGCGCTCAAAATTTAACACTTGACCAACCATGCGTTAAAAATTATCATATAAAGCTCGGTACATTTTCGGGACTAACCAGTTTTTTCCTGTGCTTTGTTCGAGATGTTCCAAATTCTTCCTGTTATCGCTGCTTCGTATTTCAATTTGACTACACTTCCTGTAGAGATGTGGTCAACAATTTTAAGGTATCTAGACCCACTGTCTCTTCTTGACGTTGCTAGATCAACAACTTATTTACTTAACGTCTGTCAAGGAGACCCAATGTTAAGGAAACAATTACAACGAGGATTGAAAGAAGAGAAAAATCTTGCTAAAGATTTGATTGCCAATCCACGAAAGATTCTCATAGCTAAGAGAAGATTGCTTGCGAAAAAGGCATTTCACAATGTTTTCGAGAAAAAGGAAATTTTTACAAATATTTTGAAAAGAAAAGCTTCAAGAGACTTGGAAGATAATCGTAGACCAACAAAGAAGGTCAAATTATGTAGAATTTGAACCATACAATGTTAATTAATTTTAGAATCTTCTGTTAAAGTTAAAATAAATAAGAGACGGTAGAATAAATGAAAATTATGTGAATTAAAACAAATTTTATAAATTTTAAAATGGTTTCGATAAACTTAAGATCAATATGTGACTGTAAAAGAAATAAAAACTTTGTAAATTTAAATAAATTTATATATGAGAATTAACAATATTATATTTGTGTTAATTCATATTTAGAATCTTAATATTAAAGTTAAAATTATTAAGAGGATATAGAAAAAATATGCAAATTATAATATATTTAAAAATTTCAAAATAGTTCTTACAGAATTAAGATTAATAGGAAACATTAAAATAAATATAAAGTTTGTATTCAAATAAATTTATATCTTAGAATTAACAATATATTGTTTTGTAAATAATTAAGTGAAATATATTATTTCTTAAACGTTCATATTAATAAATACGGATTCCTAATAAAAGCACAAATATATTTTGTAGCAAAAACACGCGCAAAATTATTAAGAGACTGTTAAAAAAATTGTAAATTGAAATAAATTTAGAAATACGGATTCCCGATGAAAGCTAAAATATATTTTTGTCTGTCATATATCTTTTATCAAAAAGAACACCACTGACGATCTATTATCGAAAAATCAACCTTTCGTCGCACGAAATTTAAAAAAAAATGAACGCAAATTTCGGAACAATTTTTGTGGTAACAAAAACAGCGCTCACGCTCATTGGCGCCAAGATCCAACTTTTGGCGCTCAAAATTTAACACTTGATCAACCATGCGTAAAAAATTATCATATAAAGCTCGGTACATTTTCGGGACTAACCAGTTTTTCCCTGTGCTTTGTTAGAGATGTTCCAAATTTTTCCTGTTATCGCTGCTTCGTATTTCAATTTGACTACATTTCCTGTAGAGATGTGGTCAACAATTTTAAGGTATCTAGACCCACTGTCTCTACTTGATGTTGCTAGATCAACAACTTATTTACTTAACGTCTGTCAAGGAGACCCAATGTTAAGGAAACAATTACAACGAGGATTGAAAGAAGAGACAAATCTTGCTATAGATTTGATTGCCAATCCACGAAAGATTCTCATAGCTAAGAGAAGATTGCTTGCGAAAAAGGCATTTCACAATGTTTTCGAGAGGAAGGAAAATTTTACAAATATTTTGAAAAGAAAAGCTTCAAGAGATTTGGAAGATAATCGTAGACCAACAAAGAAGGTCAAATTAGAATTTGAACCATACAATGTATTAATTAATTTTAGAATCTTCTGTTAAAGTTAAAATTAATAAGAGACTGTGAAAGAAATAAAAATTATGCAAATTAAAACAAATTTTATAAATTTTGATATGGTTTCGATAAACTTAAGATCAATATGTGACTGTAAAAGAAATAAAAACTTTGTAAATTCAAACCAATTTATAATTGAGAATTAACAATATATTTGCGTTAATTCATTTTAGAATCTTAATCTCAAAGTTAAATTTAATAAGAGGCTATAAAAAAAACTATGCAAGTTATATTATATTTTAAAAATTTCAAAATAGTTCTTACAAAATTAAGGTTAATAGGAAACATTAAAATTAATAAAACCTTTCTATTCAAATAAATTTATATTTTAGAATTATCAATATATTTTTTTCTAAATAATTAAGTGAAATATATTATTTCTTAAACGTTTATATTAATAAATACGGATTCTTAATAAAAGCCAAAATATATTTTGTAGCAAAAACAGGCGCAAAATTATTAAGAGACTGTTAAAAAAATTGTAAATTGAAATAAATTTAGAAATAACAATATATTTTTTTTATTTTATCAGTAAATAAACAAAAAATAAAGTTTTGTAAATAAATAAATTATGTTATTTCCAGTTTCATATTAGTAAACACGGATTCCCGATGAAAGCTAAAATATATTTTTGTCTTTTAGCAAAAAGAACACCACTGACGATCTATCATCGAAAAATCAACCTTTCGTCGCACGAAATTTAAAAAAAAAATGAACGCAAATTTCGGAACAATTTTTGTGGTAACAAAAACAGCGCTCACGCTCATTGGCGCCAAGATCCAACTTTTGGCGCTCAAAATTTGACACTTGACCAACCATGCGTTAAAAATTATCATATAAAGCTCGGTACATTTTCGGGACTAACCAGTTTTTTCCTGTGCTTTGTTCGAGATGTTCCAAATTCTTCCTGTTATCGCTGCTTCGTATTTCAATTTGACTACACTTCCTGTAGAGATGTGGTCAACAATTTTAAGGTATCTAGACCCACTGTCTCTACTTGACGTTGCTAGATCAACAACTTATTTACTTATCGTCTGTCAAGGAGACCCAATGTTAAGGAAACAATTACAACGAGGATTGAAAGAAGAGAAAAATCTTGCTAAAGATTTGATTGCCAATCCACGAAAGATTCTCCTAGCTAAGAGAAGATTGCTTGCGAAGAAGGCATTTCACAATTTTTTTGAGAAAAAGGAAAATTTTACAAATATTTTAAAAAGGAAAGCTTCAAGGGACTTGGAAGTTAATCGTAGACCAACAAAGAAGGTCAAATTATGTAGAATTTGAATCATACAATGTAATAAATAATTTTAGAATCTTCTGTTAAAGTTAAAATGAATAAGAGACTGTAGAAGAAATTAAAATTATCTGAATTAAAACAAATTTTATAAATTTTTAAATGGTTTCGATAAACTTAAGATCAATATGTGACTATAAAAGTAATAAAAACTTTGTAAATTCAAATAAATTTATATATGAGAATTAACAATATTATATAGTTGTGTTAATTCATTTTAGAATCTTAAAGTTAAAATTAATAAGTGACTATAAAAAAAACTATGCAAATTATATTATATTTCAAAATAGTTTTTACAAAATTAAGAAATAGGAAACGTTAAAATAAATAAAACCTTTGTATTTAAATAAATTTATATTTTAGAATTAACAATATATTTTTTTTTGTAAATAATTAACTGAAATATATTTTTTCTTAAACGTTCATATTAATAAATACGGATTCCTAATAAAGGCAAAAATATATTTTGTAGCAAAAACACGCGCAAAATAATTGAGAGACTTAAAAAATTGTAAATTGAAATAAATTTAGAATTAACAATTGATTTTTTTTATTTTATCGGTAAATAAACAAAAAAATAAAGTTTTGTAAATGATTAAATAAATTATGTTATTTCTAGTTTCATATTAGTAAACGCGGATTCCCGATGAAAGTAAAAATATATTTTTGTCTGTTATATATCTTTTAACAAAAACAAGACCATTGACGATCTATGATCGAAAAAACAACCTTCCGTCGCACGAAATTAAACAAAACCGAACGCAAATTTCGGAATAATTTTTGTGGTAATAGAAACCGCGCTCACGCTCATTGGCGCTAAGATCCAACTTTTGGCGCTCAAAATTTAACAGTTAACCAACCATGCGTAACAAATTATCATATAAAGCTCGGTACTTTTTCGGGACTAACTAGTTTTTTCCTGTGCTTTGTTCGAGATGTTCCAAATTCTTCCTGTTATCGCTGCTTCGTATTTAAATTTGACTACAAAGGCATTTGATAATTCTAACGTTTTGATGAACTGTCAGTGTACAGTGAACAGTAACTGAATGTTTA